TACATCCAGCAGCAGCAGCAGCTGGCTGTCCTCTATAGGCAACTGAAAGTGCTCCCCACCATTAACCAGCTCACCCAGGCCTTGGACCACCAGACCGCCACTCAGCTACTGAAGCTGGCCCACAAGTATAGGCCGGAGCAGCAAAAGAAGCAGAGGCTGCTGGCGAGAGCTGAGAAGTCTGCTGGCAAAGGGGATGTCCCCACCAACAGGCCCCCATCCTGCAAGCCAGAGTCAATGGTGTTCCCACAAGGCCCAGCTGCTGGTAATTTGTACACAACCTGGACCCTAATGAGCTGTTTGTTTTCCTATCAGTCTTGTGCTGTAAAATGGGGGTTCCTTACTGCATCATCTAGGGGAAGACCTGGCTGGGAGGGCTGGTCCACAGGAAGACTGGTGGCCTTCACACACTAAATTGGGTTGTGTGTGGCTGGTTTCTTTGTACATACAGATAAATTCATTCTTTAACAAAAACAAAACATAACAAACCCTCTGTATTCCAGATATCAAGTTTGTTACCTGTTAGTGGGAGAGCTCTTACAGTCGCATTGTTAATCAAACATTAACAGTGATTGCTGCTTCACGGTCATCTAAAAGTTTTCAATTGGAGATAATGAGTAGTGAATTTAGTATAGTGGGTTATGACCAATTTTTTAAAATCATAAAATATTTTGTTTTATTTCAGTTAACATATGTATGCTAGGTCATGATGTAAAATATATTTCTTACTCTAAGGATCTTGGTCAAAATGTTTGCAAAACACTGGTGTACCAGCCTTCTGCTCCATATAGCGTATGGCCCCCAGCTTCATCTGGTGACAAGCCATGATGCCGAGGGTCTGTATTTAGATTTGACTTTGAAATGTTTTCTGTTATTTCATCCCCCAAACTGTCTTTCATTTCGAGTCGTTCCTCCTCCCAAACAGTAATATATGTATTTTTTCAATTATAGAAGTAACATATGCTCATTATAGAAAACTATAAAGAAGTGGCTCTCACCCGTAGCTCCACTCAATGGGAACCACTGTTACTGCTGTGTTAGGGTGTGTAGATGTTGCTACTAGGCTACCTGGTTTTAGACACTTTCTTAGAAGAGTTACTTTACCTCTCTGCCCCTCAATTTCTTCCTCTGTAAAATGAAATGCTAATAATAGTAATCTTCCTTTTAAATTGTTGTACCATAAATTATTGTACCTAAAGAGTTCAAAATAATACCTGTACAGTAAATGCTCAAAAAATATTAATAACATTAGCTTTTTGGCATATATCCTTGAAGAGTTTTTGTTTTATAAATACATGTATTTGTAAATATTGGGTGTCTATGTCCTGGTGTGGTGCTGTGTGTTAATGCGCCAGACTGTAAAGCTGTTTGAATTGCAAGGTTGGCAGTTCAAGCTCACCAGCTGCTCCTTGGAAATCCTATACAGGGTCGCTATGGGTCAAAACCGACTCGACGGTACTTCACAACATCAACCTATATTGCCAAAAATGGGAACATAATATTCATACTATTTTTTAACTTTTTCAATTTAATATTTAGCAATTTATTGTACACATTAAAATATTAATAGTTGGATGTATCATAAACTTTTAAAATTCTCCATTGTTTCTAATTTTTTACTATTTCTAGAGGTATTGTAAAGAATACCCACAGACATGCATTGTTATTGTTAAGTGCTGGCAAGTTGATTCTGACTCATGGGAGTGGCTGGTGGCTTTGAACCTCTGACCTTGTGGTTGGCAGTCCAGTGCTTATCTTACAGTGCCATATCTTGAATCTTACAGACATGCGTAGTGCCAGTTATTTACTTAGGAGAAATTTCTACAGAAGGAATTTCTGGATCAAAGGGTATGTTTATTAAACACTCTAATCATATCTCCTTCCACAAAGACTGGACTAATTTACTTTTCCAGTTCCTCACACCTTTATCATTACTGGATATTTGGGTATTTTCAGGCTTCATTTATCTCATTAAAGTATGGCAGCTCATTAAAATATTGTTCTTTTTTGATTAGTAGTGAAGTTAAACATATTTTCTCATATTTTTGGTCATTTTATTCCTTTTATGAATTGCTTATTCATGTCCTTTACCTAGTTCTTTAAAAAATATAGTGGAATGGTCATCTTTAGCACATTGATTTGTGAAGAGTTAACTAAAAATACCTTTGCTGTCATTTGTTTCTTGTCACTTGCCTTTCAATTTTATGTTAAGACATTTAACTTGTCTAAACTGTTAGCTTTTTCAGTCTTTTCCTTTACTGTGTCTAACTTTGATTATGCAGTGGGTTATGTGTTGGGTTGCTAACCACAAGGTCAACAGTTTGACTCCACCAGCCACTGCATGGGAGAAAGATGAGGCTGTCTACTCCAGTAAAGATTTATAACTTCGCTATAAGTTGGAACTGACTCCACAGCACACAGTCACAACAACCCTAACACTTTGGTGTCATGCTTTAAAAGTTTCTAACTACCACATGTTCTTTTATGCCTTGACTCATACTAAACTGAACATGTTCCAATTAGAAGTCAAGGTTATGGGAGGAACTCTCTGGGTTTTCCAGCTTCCATGAAGTTTCACGGTGTACTACCCCAGTAACTACCATGTTGTTATCAAGTGCCGTTGAGTCGATTCCAACCCATAGCGACCCTTTATAGGGTTTCCAAGGAGCAGCTGGTGAGCTTGAATCACCGACCTTGTAGTTCAAACAACTTTGCGGTCTGACACATTAGCCCACAGTGCCACACCAGGACTCTAATAACTACCATGCTCATGCATAAATCACCATCCACTGCTGTAGAATGTGACCCCTGTCTTAAGGTGTTGTGTTGTAACATCACACTACAGTTCTTCTTAAATCCCACCTCTGCCACATTGAATCCATAGGAGACTGTTTGTTAAGTGAGGTGCCATCACATTGGTTCTGACTCATAGTGACCCCCGTATAGGGTTTCCGAGACTGTCAGTCTCTTAGGGAGCAGAAAGCCTCATCTTTTTCCCACGGAGCGGCTGCTGAGTTTGAACTGCTGAGCTTGTGGTTATCAATTCAATTGCTTATCCTACAGTGCCACCAGTACTCCTAACCCATAGGAGATAGTTTACTACTAATAATACTATCCAGAGGTGGTTCAGCTAAAAGTCAAATGTAAATATTAATCAGGAATAGGCATGACAATCTTGGCAGTTAATTACGAGTGACCGGGAGATGTTTTAGGACCTTTACAATGTTCCCATTCTCTTTGTTCTTAAGTTCCATCGAATCAGTTCCAATCCATAGCGACCCTGTAGTAGGGTTTCCAAGGAGTGGCTGGTGGGTTTGAACTGCCATTCTTGCTGTTGAAACTGACCTAGTGGTCAAGTGCTTATCCTTCAGCGCCACACCAGGACTCCATCCATTCTCTAGGTCGGTCTTAATTTGGATTGTTTATAGATAAACAATAAAACACATACTAGGACACGTACGTAAAGAGAGGCCTGTCAAAGGATTTGCCCACTGCCCCCTTTATTCTCTACTTAAGATAATGCTAACATTTAGATTTTCTCACAGTGACTTCAGCCCTCTGCTGGTGAGATGAACGTCTTTGGCTGAGGGTCTGAGAAGTTCATTTATTTCTTAATGATGGACATACATTAGTGAGTTTGCCTAAAGTTTACAACCAGGCTCTGTAGGCTGGATTCAAAAGAGGACTTCTTAGGAGAAGGGATCTGAGCTCTTCCCTACCTGGAGAAGAAATGATGAGTCTTGGTAACATTCAGTAATCGCACTTGAAACAGGTTCATCTCTGATCCCACCCATTGCCATTGTGTAGATTCCGACTCCACACTAAACTTATAGAACAGAGCACAACTGTTCCATAGGAATTCCAAGGCTATAAATCTTTATGGAACAAGATTGATGAACTTTCATCCTGTAGAGTGACTGGTAGGTTTGAACTGCTGACAGTACTTTAACCACTGTGTCGTCTGAGCTCATTCCATCTGTGATGCAAACATTAAAACAGTAAGCAAGCATAACTTTTGGATAAAAGTAGACTTTTATAAGTCTACTTTTATAAGGATTTTCTAAGCATTACATGGTCTGTTTCTGCCATATAACTTATTCTTTTAGTAAAGGTTCACATAGACCTTAATGTGATCTATCGAAGATGTTCAACAATTGTTGCTATTGTTAGGTGCTATCAAGTTGGTTCCCACTCATAGCCACCCAATGTGCAACAGAACCAATACTGCCCAGTCCTGCCCAATCCTCTCACAATCGGTGGTATGTTTGAGCTCACTGTTGCTGCCACTGTGTCAATCCATCTTGTTGGGGGGTTTCTTTTTGTTGTTGTTGTTGTTAGAACAACTCAGCAAAGTAAAATTCCAGTTCATTGTTGGACAACATTGTTTCACACATACATCAAACAGGCCAAAAAACAATAAACAGCAACTTCATAGACAAAAAAAATGCAAAAGAAACTTTATTTTTGGCCTTTTTTAACCATCTCATACAAACCAACTACTTATTGTACAGCTAAGTACATACACAAAAAAAGTTACTGGAATGCTCAGAATACGATTGTAATTTTGTTGTTGTTGTTGTTGTTTTCTCCTTTGGGATTATAATGAACATAATCACACCATAAGTAAAGTCAGAATTAGGACAGAGAACATGCCAAAGACTGGTTTGGTCATCTGAGGTTATTAAAAATGGTTGACCCCTAACAATAAGTACAAAAATATAAAATATAAGTAAAAAATACAAAAAAAAATTTTTTTTTAAAGCACTTTTAAGAAAAAAACCAGGGCCTTGGAAGTTTGGGTTCTTATTTCTCCCCTGTTGCAAATTCACGTTGTGGTTTTGGTTGGGTGGGGGTGAGCGCATATTATCTGCGGGTGGCGCTGCCCAAAGTGGGCGGGTGGGACTCTCTACTCTAAGGTGACCACGTTTAGATTCTGAGATGGGAAGTGGAGGGTGAGTAGGTCACGGTGGCCTTTGTAAGTTTAACTTTTCCTTTTTTGCTGCCTAGTCATCCTCATCAGTCTTCTGCTTCTTGGTGTCAACATTATTATCCTCAACATCTTCAGCTGCCCATTTGCACGTAGCTGCCTCAGCTTCCTCATCTCCTTCTTCTTCCTCACCATCACCTTTTTCCTCTTCCTCCTCCTCCTCACCTTCTTCCTCTTCCTCATCTACCTCATCGTCAGGCTCCTGTTCCCCATTTTCCTCATTAGTGTTACCATTAGCGGGTACGTCTTTCCCATTTTCTGTTTCCTCCACAAACTCCTTCTTCTCCTTTAAGTCCTTGGTGGTGATCTCAGAGCTGGTGTCCACAGCCACATCTGACCTGGTGAGGTATACCGGGGAGCCAATAACCTTCCTCTTTTTTGCTCTCTCCACGTAAGCAAGTGTGATGTCCTTCAACAGTAAGTGGTCCTTCTTTACAACATGCTCAGACTATGTGGAATGAAATTTCATCATCATTGCTTCTAAGTAGTAATCTGGCCCAACTACTTCCAAAACAGATGTTTGTTCTTCTGTTCATCCTGGTACTTTTAATATTCTTCACCAACACTGTAATCCAAATGACTCATTTTTCAGTCTTCCTTATTCATTGTCCAGCTTTCATGTGCATATGAAGCAATTGAAAATGCCATCATGAATTGGGTCAGGCACACTTTAGTCCTTAAAGTGATATCTTTGTTTTTTAGCATTTTAAAGAGGTATTGTGCGGCAGATTTGCCTAATGCAATACATCTTGCATGTTTTCATGAGTGTTGGTTGCTTATGGATCTAAGTTAAATGAAATCATTGACAACTTCAATATTTTCTCCATATAGTATATTGGTTACACCTTGGGCTGTTAACTGCAGGGCCAGCAGTTCGAATTTACTAGCTGTTCCATGGGCAAAAGATAAACGTTTTTTTGCTCCTGTAAAGATTTACTACCTTGAAAACCCTACACAGGGTTGCTGTGAGTTAGAACTGAAACAATGGCACACCACCATCATGATGTTATTTATTGATCTAGTTGTGAGAATTTGTACTCTTTTTACACTGAGTTATAATGCATAGTGAAGACTCTATTCTTTGATCTTCACCACCAAGTATTTAAAGTCTTCTTTCCTTTCAGTAAGGAAGACTGATCATCTGCATATTGAAGGCTATATTAATGAGCCTTTCTCTAATTCAGATGCCACATTATTCTCTATATAATACTTTTTTTTTTTGATGATTTGATCAGTATACAGATTGAATAACTATGGTGAAAGGATACAACCCAGATGCACAGTGTTCCTGATTTTAAACCATTCATTATCCACTTATTCTGTTCAAATGACTGTCTCGTGGTCTATATACAGGTTCTTCATGAGTGCAATTAAGTGTTCTGGAGTTCCCATTCTTCACAGTGTTATCCATGGTTTGTTATGAACCACCCAGTTGACTGTCTTTGCATAGTCAATAAAGTGTACAAGTAAACATCTTTATGGTATTCTCTGCTTTCAGTCAAGATTCATATGATATCAGCAATGATATCCCTCATTTGACATCCTCTTCCATATCCAGACGAAATTTCTGGCAACTCCTTGTTGATGTACTGCTGCAACAGCTTTGAAATTATTTTCAGCAAAAGTTCTTTGCTTGCGTGTGATTTTAATGGTATTGTTTGATGATTTCTATATACCATTGGGCCACCTTTCTTTGGAATGGGCACAAGTATGGATTTTTCAGATTTATTTGTGTATATGTATGAGTGCCACTAGCATTGCATTAGTTTGCTGAAACATTGCAGTTCATATTCTGTAAAGTCAAACATTGCAGTTCATATTCTATAAATTCTTTGCACTACCTCATCCCTCCATGTCATCGTCTCTGACTCCATCTCAGGCATTCCTGCTTCTCTGGGTAGGGTCCCGCTCTTGGCTCTTCTCCGTTGGTGGTCCCAGAGACCTCCGCTCCTAGACTGGAGAAATAATCACTCCCTTCCTTGGTACAAAATGTCTACCTTTGCATTTCCAACCCTCACAATCTGTCTTGATAACCATTATTCACTACAGTATCGCGAGTAACCCATCTGTATTTCATTTCATCAGCTCCATCTAGACAGATTGGATAGTACTCTCTGGTGATTCTGCCTTCCTCCATGCTCCCTAGCTCTAGGTTCCCTCTTGAAAGCTTGTAAGCCAGTCACTTCTTGCCTTTGTAGTCCTCCCCTCCCCATTTGGGTATCCAATGTCCAAGTTGTCCATCTCTTTCTACTCTGTGTGTGGAGGGGGTGGGAATGTTTCTTGCTGTAAGGATTTGTTGCCTCTTTTGAGTCACTGCATTCGTAGGTATAGGTCAAGTTCATCAGATTGAATCAGCTCAATCTTTTTTTTTCCCCTCCTCTTCTTTCTTCTCCTGGTTGAGCTCTGATCATCCAGTCATCCAGTCCCGGTCACGTGGGTACCATCTGCAAGTGTGGGTGTTCTTGTGTACATGCCCTCTCTTCCCATCAGCCGGCGGCTCGATTCTCCACTTGAGTCCTCTGTGGCCACGCCACTGACTCTGGGCCCAGGAGTCCTCAGGTCTCCTCACACTGCTTGCCAACCAGGTCCCCAACCGGGTCCACAGAAGCCCACTGAATATTGTAAGGCTTAGTTCGCTGCTTCATTGCTGCCTTTACAACACTTCTCCCCATCGGTGATGCGTGTGGTCACCAATCTGAGTGTGCATTTCCACCGAGTCTCAGTCTTGGAAGGGGTCCTTCCATCTTCTTTTGATGCTTCCTGCATTATTCAATATTTTGCCCACAAAATCCTTCAACATTACAACTCAAGGCTGGAATGTTTTATTTCAGCTCAAGAGATGCTGGGCATGTTTTTTTTCCAGCTTGAGAGATGATGAGTGTGTTCTTCCTTTTTGATTTTATGACTCCAGGTCTTTGCACATTTCATTATAATACTTTCTATTTCTTCTAGAGCCGCCTTTGTCTTCTTGAGCTGCCTTGAAATTTTGTATTCAGCTCATTTACTTCATCAGTTTTTTTCAGTTGCTTTAGCTTCTCTAAGTTTAAGAACAAATTTCAGAGTGTCTTCTGACATCTATTTTGGTCTTTTCTGTCTTTTTAATGACCTTTGCATTCTTCATGCATGATGTTCTTGATGTCATCCTACAATACTCTGGTTTTCCATCGTAAGTGTCTAATGCATTAAATCTGTTCTTAAGATAATCTCTAAATTCAGGTAGGATATAATCAAGGTAATATTTTTTCTGTTGTGTACTTGTTTTTAGTATTCTTCAGCTTTAGCCTGAATTTGCACATGAATAATTGATGGTCTGTTCCATAGTCGGCCCCGACTTTGTTTTACCTGATAAATTGAGCTTCTCTATTGTCTCTTCCCACAGATGTAGTCAATTTAATTTCCTTTGTTTTCCATCTGGTGAGCTCACCTTTTATATTGTTTAAAAAAGGTATTTGTAGCAAATAAGTCATTGGTTTTACAAAATCCTATGATGTAATCTCCAGCATCATTTCGATCAGTATATTTCTAATACTGAGCCTTTTGTGTCCAACTTCTGCATTCTAATCACCAGTAATTATCAATGTATCTTGATTGCATGTCTAATCAATTTCATATTCAAGAAGTTGGTAGAATTCTTCAATTTCTTCATCATTGATTTTAGTGATTGGCATGTCAATTTGAACAATAATTGCATTAACTAATCTTCCTTGTGGTGTATAGTTGTTGTTTTATCACAGACAGCATTTGAGGAGTCAGTTCTTCTCCCATTGTATTTTGAGTGCCTTCCAACTGAAGGACTCATCTTCCGGCACTATAGCAGACAATGTTCTGCTGTTATCCATTTGGTTTTCACTGGTCTAATTTCTTTCTTGAAGCTGATTGCCAGGTTCTTCTTCTTAGCCTGTCTTAGTCTGGAAGCTCCGCTGTAACCTAATCTACATATATATCCCTGCTGGAATTTGAAATATCAGTGGCATTATAGTTACATCTGCCCACATTACAGCAACATACAAGCCACCACACTATGACAAACTGACACTGCTCTTTCAGTTTTATTTAGTCATAAAAAATTAAGTCTTGATACATGCTATAGCATTACTGAATCTTGGAAACGTTATGCGCAAAAATTACCATGTAACAAACAGTATTGTATGACTATTTATTTGAGCTATATCTAGAAAAAGCAGATGCATAGAAACAGAAAGTTAGAATAGTGATTATCAGGGGCTGGGGAATAAATGAGAAGTTATTGCTTAATGAGAAAAAAGGTTTCTGTTTGGAAGGATGAAAAAGTTCTGGAAATAAATAAGGGTGATGGTTATACAACACTGTGAATGTTCTTATTGCGATTGAATTATACATTTAAAAATAACTACAATGATAAATGTTATGCCAGGCGTATTTTACCACAATAAACATACACACACACACGTACTATACATTTCTGTGGGTCAGTTACAAGTGTAGTTGAATGTCTATGCAACCACATGGACAAGGGCTTAGGATAACCCAAACTCTATCAGTGGTTACCTTTAGAAAAGAGATTAGGATGGGAAAAGGAGTATCAGGGAGTTCTTTGGGTTAAAAAACAATAAAGCTGGGGAAGCCTTAATTAGGAGTTAATCATTGAACATCTCTGGTTTGACATGTTAATGGGCATCTAAGTATGTATATTCAGCCAGACTCTTGGCAGCAGTTAAGCTGACAATTCTTTCTTGAAACAGGTTCTTGCCCATTACATTCTCTTTCCTTTGTCTTTGTATATTCTCCTTAGTCTTCCTTTCAGGCAGTTTATCCTCTATTTGACTAGCAATATTAGAATGGGGCCCTCTGCTCTCTGCCACCCTCACCTTCTCCTTCATTTAAAAATCCTGTGGCTCTTAAATTATTCACAGCTTCTAAATTAATATCCAAGTCCTGGGCGCCTTATCATTTCTACCAGGATATTGTAAAGGCAGATCAAACTTACCACTTCTCAAGTGGAAATCTTTTTTCATATAGAAATCTATTTGACACCCACATGCCCACACCTCACTGAAAACTGCTCTTCCCTAGTCTATTTTTGACTACTCATTAGACCACCATTCATGTAGATTGAAGTCCCACATCTACGATTCACATTGGCTATTTGTCTCTCACATCCAATTTGTTGGTGATGCATGTTGAGAGAAGGCACATAGACTCTAACCAGACTGTTGAGGCTTGATTCTGACTCTGATACTAATGAGTTTTGTGTCTTAGGGGAAGTTCTGTAACTTCTGTGTTCCTACCTTACCTCAAAGGATTCTTGTGAAGGTTCATTATAAATATCATGAGGATTAGCATGAGTTAGTATATTTAAATTTCTTAGAACAATAGTTAATAAAAAAGT